GCGCTTTTCCTGATCCCTGTCCGCCCTGCGCCAAATTACGCATTTTGCGCTGGACCTTTGTCAGGTGCTGCGGCACTGGCTCCTCCTCTTCCCCGGGTCTCGTTCGTTTTTCCTTATCTGTCTGTTTGGTTCCTGTCTGTCCGTTTAACCCAGCCTGTCCGTCTTGTCCGTCTCAGAAAATCTGTCCGATAGTCACTATTTGGCTTGTCTGTCTTCTGCTAGTCTTATGTCAAGTATGTAACTGCCTAGAGTCAACGGTACATTCCCAGTCTGGCCCGGTCCAGTTGAGTAGGTACCCTGTGGGACTGTGAACACTCAGGGTCGATGGGAGTGCAGGCCAGAAGCATAAGTCAAATGCAGCGCAAAGTTGCGCATTCATTTCCGGCGTAAGCCATGCGAAAGTGTTGCTGCAGCGGCTCGTGCAACGGTAATCTGCAGATGCCCGGAGAGCGCAGTGGGTTGTAGGTGTGTCATTGTGCACTGTCTGACTGTACGTTTTCTGTGCGTGTCACTTTGTGCTGTGTGAGTGTCACGGCATCTGTGTGACTGTGTATTACCGTGCGTATGTCACAGTGTGACTTTGTTTTCACCGTGTATGTGTATGTGCACCGTGTGCTGTGTGGATCACATTTGTCCATGTGTGTGTCACACTGTGTGCAACACAGTGCACCTATGAATCAGTATCTGCGTCACAGTGAGCATGACACTGTATCTGTGACGTGTGATATTGTGTATGTGCCATAGTGTATGTGTTACTTGTGTGACTGTCACCGAGTGACAGTGTGTGTGACCGTGTGCCTGTCACAGTATTCTTTGTGTGTGTCACACCACTCCCTATGTGTTGTTGTGCACCATGTGATTGTGTATGTCACTGTGTCTGTGCGTCACGGTGTTTGTGCGTGCGTGTCACAGTGCACAGTCTTCCTGTGTGCTTCTGCGTCTATCCGTCTGTCTGTTGTTTTCTGCCTGTTTGTCTTGTCCAATCTGTGTGTTTGTCAGTCTGTGTGCTGCCTGTCTGTCTGTCTGTCTGTTTTATTTGCTCTGTCCACATTCTCTCTTTCTGTGTGGTGTAGTAAATAGTATGTGGGATACACCGGGTGATCCGGTGCGTGTGAATAGAGAGTCATTGGGGCACTGTGGCGCCATAGCCATCTGAAGTGAACTTGTATCTAGATGCCATATCTCTGAGTTTTGAGCGGGCGCATGTTGCCAGTTTTGTGCGTGGCCTGTCCGTGTGCTTGTGAAGTGAGAAATAAAGCGAGTCTGATCGCATAATTATAATAATAATAATATAATAATAATAATATAATAATAATAATATAATAATAATAATAAAATAAATAATAAAAGCCAGGAAAATGGGTGGTGTCGGACTTCAGAAATCAAACAGCATCATACACATGTGACCATCTAGTCGTGACCTCGTACCAAACAACAAAATTGCATTATGAGTTTCATCAAATAAGAAGTCACCAAGAGCTCAAAATTGACAATGATGGTAAAGTCTCATCATCCTCATTGACGAAGAACCAATGTTGATATCCTGCGCCCAATCTACAAGTGGCAGATCCTATCTACCCTACAACTACTATGCAGCTGTTGTCGTCAACAGCTCCCCCGAAGTATGAGCAGATCTCGGACCACGTCGTTCGCCTGCTGCACTAGGCATGTCTTTCGCCCCCCCCCCTCTATGCAAGATAATAATAATAATAATAATAATAATAATAATAATAATAATAATAATAATAATAATAATACAAGAATCACGAGTGTGGACGAAGCACAGAATCCAAATCGCCAAACCACACCGAAGTCCGAGTAGTCAAAGCAAGAGCAGATAGTACAATAGAACTGTGTATCCATTCATTTGAGAACTATACAGCAGAATCGTGAGTCAATGTCCAAGCCCAGTCGGCCAACTCCAACAACATAACCCAGTGTAACTCTCACTCTTGAACGGCGCCTGATGCCCTATCTACTCTACAGCCTGATCCTACACTACAGCATGGAAGCAATCAGACAACTTGACGACCAGCGAATAATGATGCCAACACCAATGTCGACCTCCTCTCCGCCCAGGTACGTTTCTCTTCTTCACAACCTCGTTCCCCAACTCACAGATGCCACGTTCATCCTAAGACCACTATGCGCCTAATAATAATAATAATAATAATAATAATAATAATAATAATAATAATAATAATAATAATAATAATAATAATAACAATAACAATAATAATAATAACAATAATAATAATAATAATAATAATAATAATGATAATAATAATAATAATAATATAACAAT